GCATCCGAGTGGAAAGGGTTAAAAATCAAATATAAAAGTTTGACAAATTTTTATGCAAATATTTTCTAGTAGTTCAAATATAAACTAGCTGTAAGTGGAATTCTGTCTTGAGGCATTTATGGCATCGTGCCTTAAGGCAAATTGCTGGAACTTCCCGTACCGAAATGTTCGAGGAATACTGAATGTTTTCAAATAGATTATTATAAATATTGTAACATTGTCTAATATTTATGAGAATTATATAAACTGAATTGCAGAGTTGAAAATATTTGTAAAGTATATTAGAACTATAGCCAGAATTAAAAATAAAATCTGAAATATTTTGATAAAACTAAAAAAAAAAAAAAAAAAAAAAAAAAAAAAAATTGAACAAAATTTTTTTTTTCCAAAATCAATTATTTTGTTAAGACAAGCAGAAAGTTCTTTGAATCATTTAAATCGGACGCTTAGTTCTCTCAAAAACTGCCATTTTTTACATATTTAGCTCCATATCTTCGAATGGCTGGGCCTGCCTTTGCCAAAAAACTAATAAGCACTTCTCCCAATCATTACTAATTGAATGCTTTTTAGATCATTCAAATCAGATACTCCGTTCTCTCAAAAATTCGATTTCTATTTTCTGCACTCTTTGCTCCGTATCTCCGAAACGGCTGGACCTGCCTTTGCCAAAAACTAATCAGCTCTTTTCCCTATCAATAGGAATCGAATGTTTTTTGAACCATTCAAATCGGTTGATCCGTGCGCCCTAAAACGTGACTGGAAATTTGTATCCATACATACATACACACACACACACACACACACACACACACACACACACACACACACATCCATTTTTTCTGAGGTATGCCAAAACGTTCAAAAACCTTCAAAACGTCGAGAAATGTTAAAATTTTCAATTCCGATTTTCGGCCCATTACAATAACTTACCCTACGGGAAGTTAAAAATTGACAAAATTTTATATTACGTATATAACAACAAACTATAATATTTTTGGTCTTTATAAAACTTTGAAACAAAATATTTACATTATAAGCGATATGACAAGTTGATGTTAAATGTTAATAATATTTTATAATGTAATGTTATATAATATTTTATAAAATTAATTAAATTATTAGCAAATTTTAAAAATATGGTAAAAATAGTATTTATAGTTACGACGTAAATAAATTTTAGTATTTTTATTTAAAGTAATTTAAGAAATATTACTTTTCTGAAGTTAAAAAATGTTGAAACATTAAATTTTGTATTTAGTGAATAACAAAAAGTTATGAATTATTATTGTGATTTAAAAAAGGGTTTAATTTATGATAGAAAATTAAATTTTATTGCCCCTGATCATTTATATAACAAATAGTTACGGCTTACTGATATGTTAGCTAAATCTGCTTTGAATCACATTTGAATAATTTAATTAAATCAAGCAATGAAGTTTGCATAAAAATCTCTAATATCAATGAATAAGTTCGTAATGTAATTATTCAGATTTATGGATCATTAATATGTTTATTAAAGTTATAAATATTTCAATTCACGAATTCAGTTTGAGAAATTTGAGATTAAACAATAATGCCTTCATTCAGATTTCTCATGCGCACGCTCACAGATTTTCATTGATAAATAATTATTTATTTTATAATTATAAATAGCTATCTAGAGTATAAGAATTGTATTTATGTTTCCAAAATTATATATCCTACATTTATAAATATATCTATAAATTTTCATTGTGTTCGAAATGGCAAGCGTGATGATTGATTTATTATTGGCATGATAAACGCAAAAATAAAATTACTAGTAATAGATAAATTGTTTAGAAACGACATATAGTAATGTACTACTTTACATTCATATTAAATTTGTAAATAAATAAAATAAATAAAATTACAATTAAAAATTCAGTCTCAACATTCTAGTATTATTTAGTTCCGTTTAGACAAAGAATTGCTAAGAAAAATTAGTTTTTTAATATGTAACATTACCACAAAACTAAAATGTTATATTAATTTTAGCATTTGTCTATAAAATACTTATTTATAAAAAAATATCTTTGCATAATTAATTTTGATTAATTTCAGCATCTGCCAACTAAGCACTTGCTATTTTGGTAAAAAAGCTTGAACTTTGCTCGCAGAATTAATTATAAATCAAAATAAACGTTTAATTTTGATCAAAAGCTCTTCTATATAAAATACAAATTAGTTATTTTAAATATGAAAAATTATATGGTTTTATTATACTATTTAAATTATTCTAAATTCTCGACTAAATTATTCAGATTTCAAACAAGAATATGAAGTAGCACATACCGTACGTCGATCCCTAATTATAAATTAAAAACTAAACAGTTTCATCATAGACAAATCATGAATACTATGTAAAAATACATGTACCTTTATACCAAATTATTAAAAACGCATTAGTTAATCATTTTCTCAATAAAAAGTCTGAAATATGAATATCGGATGGACCATATAATATGCGTAAGATAACACTGCACGTAAATTTATGTATTTATACATTTAACCACATGAGTTTTTGTATCACACAATTAATATGATGTAAAAAAGCATTTTTACATATTATTTACACTTTGTAACCATATTATATATTAAATATATATCAATTCCAATAAAGCATTATCTTCGAAGTGATTTTTATATTATAGATTTTTGTCAACAACAATCATAAATAGATATGCGTGATAGCGTTAGTTTATGCATATGATTTAAATAAATTATATAAAACTTTAAAAGCAAACTTTTTTTTAAATCAGTACTTTTTTTCAGGTTACTTCATCATCTATCAGCCACGCAGCATTATGACCCGGGCGTCTTTTAGCGCCCGGGTCATGCGCCATGTTATGCTTTCAAGATGCAAGCACCGAGTGGTAAATACTTAGGCATTAATTGTAATAGAGGTTTTATTTTGAAATATAGTTGCACCATTTTTCCTTGTATAAAATTATAGGGTTATGAAATTTGAAAACTTATTAAAATAGTGTAAGCAAATAAAAAAAAATCGATGGTCAATATTTGGGTAATGAGAAATATGAGATAAATTGAATCAAATCATAACTATACGAAGACTAAAGATGTTTGAACTTATTTTACAAAAAGATGTAGAACTTTTTTGCATATTTATTGCATATCTTTTAAACTCTGATCCCCATTACAATAAGCCCTGTTCTGCCAAAAAATAAAAAACACAGAAAAATATTAAATTTATGATAATTTGCATATGAATCCTTTTGCTTATAAGGATTTGATCGTATGCGGTATAGTCAAATATATTCGTACTAAATATTGAAAATGTTTGGTCGACGCTTTTGGCTCTTGATATAAAATATTAGTAGATAAAATCCATATTGATATCAAAAAATTGAAAATATAATGAATATAATAGTTAAGATATGAAATAAGACTGCTTCATATATCTTAAAGATACTTGATAAATAATAAAAAATAGTAAAACTGGTAAAAACTTTTTATACATCAGTATTCAAAATATATTCTATAAAATATAATTTACTATAAAATAATATTCTAGTAATGATTTAAATATTGATTATATAAACAAAAAAGTTTTGAAATGTATCTATCCAATTATTAAAAAAGAAAACTTAGTAGTATTTAAAAAAATGTAATAAGCCAATTATATATTTTGGGTACCAGTTTGACTCTGCTTTAGTGGAGAAGGGATAAACTAGGACATGAAACGTATGGAGGACTAAATAAACACTAATTAGTTTTATGAGCAATTTGAATCATTTTCGGATAAAAAAAATATTATCAATATATCGTATCAAGAGCCAAAACTCATCGGTTTGCAATTATACAAAAAAATCCCTGAACGTGAATGAAACTTTCATATAAAAAACAATGAACATGAAGGTGTTAACAACATATGACATGAAAATATGAGTAGCCGAACCCTGGTATTAATAACGACACATAACAATAACATTTGAAAATAAATGACTTAAAATTATCGAATAATACTTACAATTAATCCAGTTATAATCACACACATTTCATAAATATATATCATTTACAATTCATTTAAATATAATTTCATATTTTTCAGTATGGAAGGCTTCTTAGTTTGTAATAAAACTGCATATTAAATCAAATTTTGGAAAGCTCGCAATAGCTTTTCATAAATTTTTAATATTAGTCGTTTATAATTTCAAGGTCAATATAATCGATTGTATATGCATATACATATACTTATATACGCTTTATTTTCAATATACATGCATATATACACGTATATTTACTTATTTATATATACAAGTAAGTTTATATATTTTTTTCAAATATTCAATAGTTTTCAAATTTATACATTTTATATAATAGTTTTGTTTAAATCTTAGGTAAAATTGAGATCATTTAAAAGTTCGACCTATATAATACAATTTGCAAAATCTTTTTTTAAGTCTCTTTAAATGTTAAATATTTTAATTTTTTTTATTTACACCATCTTAATTAACAGTTATCACACTAGAGTCATCGCGGATCGGGAACGGGATTTTCATAAACTTTTCTTTATGTTATGACGGTCACTCAACAAAATGGTACTGTAAGAGAAATATAAAATATTAATTTAAAGCCTGAATTAAACGATACTTGTCTTAGTTACCACAAAATTTAATTAACAAAAAAACTTGTTTTCGATAGAATCGTGAAAAATGAATTTTCTTTAGCAAGGCAGAGATTTCAAGTTCAATCATTTTATAACTGCATAATGAACGTTCAGTATCAGGTTGGCAACTAAGTAAGTGCGGATTTTTGTTAGAAAATCAAAAACATCTTTTTCATGGCACTCAATGATCCTATTCTGAAATGCCAACCGAATGACTTTTTGCCAACTTTCAGGCATCATCATTATCCCTCCATCACAAAACTTCTTCTGGCATTTATTAGCAAAAACTGAACTTGGTATAATTTGATCAAAACTAAAAATATGATGTATGATCAAGACCAAATGGTGGATGTGGCAAAACTTCCCATTTCTAATCAAGCTCCAATAATTTTAGCCGAGTGGCCAAAGATATGTATAGTAAATAAAATAATCAACTTACCAAGGACGAAGTGCCAAATAATCTGTACCATCCGATGACAATATTGGACAAATTCAGATCATCGAGAAGAATCTGAGCGACACCCATAAAATCACGTTTGTTTCTGCTGTGATCACCCCAAACTGTGACCTATAAAAATGAAAAATTAATAAGAATTTAGAAAATTATACGAAATAAATAAAGTTTGGTTCAAGATAATATTGTGATCTGATAATTAATTCTTTCTAGTTTGATTACTAGATTTGTCTAAACCTACTATGGTATGGTATATTATTGAATAAATCAAAATATCAATTGAAATACATTAATATAGACCATATAGACAAACAAGTAGACCAAGCAAATTGCACAAACTTCTTTTCCTGGATCTAGACAACTACAAATCAATTAATGAAATTACATATTGCCATATTCAGTGCAGTGTTAGCTCTGTCATAAAAATTTGGTAGTTCATCTCCAATTACATAATTCACTACTAATAAAATATTATTATGCAGATTTGAAATTTTTGCAGATTTGAAATAAGATTTTTTACCTGCATGATGCTTCCTTGCAGACCTTTCCGAAAAGTGAGATGTTGCTGGAAAAGCGGATCGAGAGTACGTCGAGCATGTCCTGTTTTTCCTTTATCTAAAACTCGTTTTCCATTCACAATAAATACTTTGACAAAAGGCAACGGTAAAATTGCTGTATGCGATATGTTCAGTAAGTCGCGGGCTCGTATCACCTCCACCTGGATAAAAAATAGAATTAGAATAATAAAAAAATTTTAATAACTTCTAAATACCTTAAATAAATTTTTAAATAGAAACAGTAGAAATATCTTTTTTTTGTCCTAGAAAATATTACAATTTTTTACCTCAAGACATCCCTTCTGGAAACACAGCGAGAGTTGTATGTCCCCATAGATTGGTGATCCCAGAACCTGCCTTCCGACCAGTTGACCAGGACCCAAGCCTCCGATGAAGTCTGCGAGCTGGTTGCTTTCCGCCGCCAATCTGAACGAAGGTGACCACCTGAGTACACGGCCAACGTGATGGTGTGGTGCAAGATGAGAGATGAACAGATGCCATGAGGTGCAAATGGAAAAGTTTATGATGTTAGGAAAATGTTATAGTTACTAAAATTTAGGTAAACATTGAAGTGATACTAGATAAATATCTTGAACTTCTTAAATTGAATTACTTCAATAAGTTGAAATTAGGAGAATGGCTTAACTGATTCTAATAAAGTTCATGATTGATAAGTTTGATGGAATCAATGGTGTGATCTTGATTTCAATAAAAACATATTAACTAAATCTGCTTAAATATCCCAGTAAACACCATGTGATTTGAGCGGTGGTAGCAATCTGAAATCCACAAGCGTGCCTTCAGCACTGTGACGCCAATGTGGAATCTATGTGGATTTCAGATCACGACCGCCGCTTCGTGTTTACTGGCATGTTTAATTTTTTAAGTATATTATAAAACCAAATCAAATTCAATAAATCGATTTAAGAACGATAAATATAAACAAATTCATATTATATTTTCAAAAAATATTGAAAAAAGATTTAGTACCTTAAAGATATAGTTGATTTCAAAATAGATCATGAATGAAAGAAATGAAATGATAAATTTATTCATTTAGACTAGCCTGCATTTCTATATATTTTCCAAAATTTGATTCAATATTATAATTGAATAACTTAAGTAAGAAATTGCAAGAGTAATATAAAATACAGACTAGTCTTCAGGTTTTACTTAATTTCATAAAACTATATCATTGTTATAGTGTCAGCAAATATAAAAATATAAAAACAGTTTTCAGAGATATGATGAAATAAAGGAATTTTCGTATAGACGAGAAAATTCACAAATACATAGTGTGCTTAAGTTATGCCAATATTTTGAGTGCAATAGAAGTGTTTTGGATACAGAAATCACAGTTTTCATACATTTTACACACAACAATACAATGAAAGCAAGAAAGTACGAGTACAATGCAGTTATAATACACAAACAAACAGATTTAATTTGTGAAAACAGCTTAAAGCCAGGCACATTTAAAAATCAGTGTAAAATAGTCGATAAATAAAAAATGTATTTTGAAATATTTCAATAAAAAGCTAAACTATTAATTGAAACTCCCTTTGCTCTTCTTGAATTTTTATTAATCCTGAGAACAAATTTTATTTTACCAAGATGATATAATAAATAGCTTTATAGTGAATTTTATTTTGTAAAAAAAAATATTCAAGCGTTAATATTATTTTTGTTTAGAAACATTAAAAAATCGTTTTAAACTTGAAACTTAAAACATTAAAATATCAAGAATTTTCAATAGAGTTTCCAAAGTTTTTACTTTTCAATCTTTGTTCACGTTTTTTATAATTTATATAATGAATTTGCCTATGTATATTTAAAGACGATACTGCAAATAAGTCATATTAAAATATAGACACATAATATAATATAAATTATCAAATAAATTTGCAACGACAATAAAAATTTAAAATAATATAAAGTACGATACAATAGTTAAATTGTGGTAAACAACAGCTTTAGTAGTTGTTTATATACTCAGATAAAAGCAAATTAAATCCCATCATTCCAATACTATTAGAATATTATTTTAAATATAGAGAATAATGGAATATTAACTTAGTGTGCTAAAAGCAATGAAATATAAAACCACATTTAAAATATTTTTGCTTAAGTTTCATTGACCTTAGCACTACTAATATAAAGTGTATGTTTTGTGCAAATTTTCATCATTATTGTTAAATCATATAAAAAAATTGCAGACGTGTGTGCACTTTTAACATCAATTCAAAGTATCAAATGACATCAAGATTTAGGTTTGAAATTGTGCATTTAGAATCATATTTTGCAAATGGTATATGAATGAAATCAAGTAGTTAGAACAGAAAATTATTATTAATATTTTGACAAAGAGAAACTCATTTGGAAAAGTGAGTCCTTATCATAAAAAAAATTGAAATTTCTAGAGTGAATTATAAAAATATTCGTTGAATTGAAGTTTTAAAAATAGATTTCTTATGGAATAGATAAATAAAATCATAGCAAGTGCTAATTGCTCAAGCATTATGGAAGCTTCTGTTTATGTAATAAATATTGATTAAATTTTACATATTTTGTTTTCAAATAAGATGCACATTGTAAATTGTTAAAAGAAATTATTCAACGACAGTGCAGCGAAAAGATAATTTTCACTTATACATTGGCGCATAGAATTTGTTAGAATTAATCCAGTATTTCGACAATACTATCAAACTTATACAGTATTTATAGTAACTAAAAATTCATTGAAAGTGTGACATGATTTTGAATGCATTTATCAAATAAAATCGTTTTTTTGGATATATTTTGAATAAGATATGTATAGAATTAATAAGGTATATATTTATCATACCTCTTTGAAAATTGACAATTAAGCAATAATTGATAAAAGCATTCGTTAAAGATGACAGGCAAAAACATGGCAATAGATTATAGTAACAATAGATCAACAGGGCGGCCAACAACAGGCAGATCTCAGGCAATAACGAGACGACAGCAGTACAACGCTAAGGACATCTCAACTGAAGAGACGGCTGAAGAAAAAAATTAACAGTCTGCTTCTCTGAGCAATGTGCTCGTTTTTGATGGAAATTCTTGCTACAGAATAATAATTAATAGAAAACTTATCCACAAACCAGAAAAGTAAAGATGTAAAGTAAATCACCTTGATGAGCCAATTCTCGGATAAAATAGACATGTTATGGCAATGCTATGTTATGGATCTACATTTGTAGGAGTTGGTAATAAGTTGAATGGCCAAAAAGCTATGTATTTGCTATGCAATCAGGCGTTTTACACATAAATCCTAAACTCCAAATGCCCCAAATGTGAAATATCAATTTCATCATTAGAGCAACTTTCTGGTGTCTCTTTGACACCACAAATATGTGAAATTAGGTTTTATATGTAAAAAGCCAGATCGCGCAGCAAATAGAAAGCTTTTTGGCAGTTCGTTACTACCAACTCATACGAATATATTTAGAAACATCAATTTTTCTTAAGTCTGAAATGTTCAACAACTAAGTTTTATTGCGTAAATGTCATATAATGATACGATTTAGTATTTGATAAATTTTATTATAAAAATAATTTCGATTATGTACCTAATGATGTTCTAATATTTACAAATAAAGGTAGTTAGATATCATTATTCACTTCACGTAGGGTAAGTTATAGTAATCGCTGATGTAAGGGTAGAGTGAGCATAAAGGTCCAATTTAACTTTGAGCAATATATTGCTAGTTTTGACTTTAAGCAATCATATTTATACTTTACATTGGATGTCCACCGGAACCCCCTGATCTGAAATCCACAGCTCTAACCACTAATCCACAGAAAAGCCCAAAAACAATTTATCTAGTAAACGTTAAAAACAGTGATTTATATTTCCTAAACTAATTCTTGAAAATAAATGATCAACAACACAAGTTTTATTTCCTGTCGGTTATTTTATTTATAATTTTTTTATGTGGTAGATATTGAGAAATTAAGAATAAATTTATTTAATCTTTGATAAGCTGCATACTTTAACGATTCAGGTAAAATTATCAGTTCAGTTATGAAAAATATCGTTTAAAACATTTAAAATAAATTGTTTTGAAGCAGAAGTAAAGCTCGCATCGAATAATTCTACTAAAAAAAGTAATTTTATATTTATAATTTAGTATATTTGTTTAACAACATTGTGCAAAATGTTAAAAAATGAACATTTTTTAAAATCGATAGATATTCAGAACGTTTTAAATATTTAGCTAAGTTCAGTTTTTAAACAATACATAATTTACCAATACTTGCAATATAATGTATTGCAGAACTATTCATAACCTTCCAACAAATTTAGAACCAGAAATATTCAAAACTATTAATATTAATATTAATTCGAATTATTTTTGAAAGACATAAAAATAAATTATTTCAAAACAGAAGTTAAACTTGAATCTAAAAAAATATAATATTTACACTAATGTGAAATTAAGAAATTAAAAATGTCTTCAGATTTATATATAAGGTTGTCAAATATCTCCCTTCCGCCTTTTTGTATTATAAACCAAGAGCAAAAAAGCGGAAGGGAGATATTTGACAACCTAATATATATTTTTTGTTTTTATAATTTTTTTAGTTAATCTATTTTATTATTATATATCGATTATAAAATATATGATATATGAAATTCTGCACTTAAATTAATAAGGCGTTTTAAAAAAAATCATGAAAATTATTTTATTCGTGAAAAGTGTTTTGATGATATCATTAGAGAAAACCCACTTTATCTATAATTTGCTATTTATCTATTATTTGATATAAATTTAATTTAAATTATTGAAGTTGAAAAGTCTTATTACTGGGTACAGTAACCTTTCAAGTTTTTATTCGATAATTTGAAAATATCCTCAAAATTACTGAATGTCTTCTATTTTCTAAATTTCTGAAGACGGATTATAAAATAAAAAAAAATAAAATCATTATCTTTTTACCATTTATATTAATAATCACATTCCCTGATGATTACATAATAAAAATCCCTGTCCAGATACCACATTTATACAATCGCATACTCAACATACTGAGAATGTACATGTTTTTAGTATCTTTTCCAAAGTGCAAGAAGCGGTTTCTTTGTTATGGCCATTTCGTTATTCTTGTGGCATTTTATTGACCCAGAACACCGCCGTACGAATGTTACACATCAGCCCGAATAGTCGCTATCGTTGTAATAGCAGGACATTTACTTTACGATATCTCTTTTGAAGACAAGATGCTTTTCAGTCGTTGCAAGTTGGAAGAGGAGAAATAGTTTTGAAAGCTTTTGTTGAAATATACATAGTTAATAATTAAATATTTGATGGTTCAGACGAATTCGACGAATTATTTTGAAATTGTTGGTTAATATAAATGTAGACACTATCTGACTATGTTAAGTAAAACTTCCAGCTAATGACAATTGTAGTAAT